TCTTTTCATCTATTTTGATACATCAATATGGATTCAATAATATATTGACTTATCAATATAAATCACTCATATAGATACATCAATATATATTCTTTCATATAGTTTCATTGATATCAACTTATCTATACATCATTATAAGTTCATTGATATGTAGATCCATAGATATGCGTTCATCAATGTATAAAATCATCAGTATAGATCAATTGATATCAATTCATCAATATAGCTTCATCAATTTATAGATTGATCCATATAAATACATTGATGTCTAGATTCATTTATACAGATTCACTGATATAGATTTATGGATAAAAATCCATTGTTATATATCCAACCACATATAGAATCACTTATATCAATTTACTGATAATAAATTCATTGATTAAGCTTCACTGATATAGATTCATGGGTATAGATTCATTGATATTGTATCATCAATATGTAGTATTTGATATAAATTCATCAATATGTAGATTTTTTATATTGATTCATCTGTATGGATTCATCAATATATAGATTCATGGGTATCAATTCATTATAACAAGATCATCAGTATATAGATTCATTGATACAGATTCATAGATATATAGATTCATTTATGGATTGATTCACTGACAGATTCAACAATATCAATTCATCAAAATAGATTCATCCATGTATAAATTCTTTGATATTCATTCATCAACTTATTAATCAATATAGATTCATTGATACATAGATTCCTTGATATAACTCATCAATATAACTTCATTGATATATATTCTTCGATACAGAATCATCAAAATTGATTCATCTATACCTATACATTGGTATAGATTCATTGATATATAAATTCATAGGTATGGATTCAGTGATGCATAAATTCACTGATATAAATTCACCAATATACAGATTCATCTATATCAATCCATTATATTGATTCATCAATATAGATTCATTATATAGATTGATCCATATCAATACATTGATATATAGACTCATCAGAACAGATTCACTGATACAGATTCATTGATCTAATTTCATCAATATATGAAGTCTTTGATATAGATTTATCTGCATGTAGATTATTTGATATCAATTCATTTATATGTATACATTTTTATAGATGCATCCATATGTATTCGATATATATATTTATCAATGTCATTTCATCGATGTTTATTCATCAATGCATAGATTCATCAATATAGATTTATTGATTTAGATTCATATATATTGACTCATTGATATATATCTATCAATATTGATTCATAAGTATTGATCCATTCATAGTAATTCTTTGATAAAATTCCTCAATACATAGATTCATTGATATCAATATGCACATTTATCAATGTAAATTTATCAGTATTTTCATGGTTATAAATCCATCAAAATAGATTCACTGATATCAATTCACCAATATAGATTTTTTAATATAAATACATTAATATATATTATTTAATAATGATTCATCAATATTGATTCATCTATATTTGCACATCATTATCGAGTCATCAATATGGATCTATTGATGTATAGATTCATCAAAATCTAGATTCAAAGTAAATATTCACTATTATAAATTCATGGATATAGATAAATTGATATGAATTCATGAACATAAATTCACCCATACTGATTCATTGAAAATATATAAGCTGGGGGATGTATCTCAGTGGTTCAGCACCTCTGACTACAATCTCCAGGGCAGGCAGGGCATTTTGGTGGAAGAAAGGGCCCTTCCTGGCAGGAAGGCATCTCAGGAGCCGCCTTCACTGAAGCCAGCAATAGCAAGTCGCCATCGGGCAAGGCCTGAGAAGTGGCTGCAGCCTCTGTGAACACCTTTGCCCCGCTGCAGTGGAGCATGTGCAGACAAGCTCCACAAAGGATTTGCCCACGCGCCACTTGTGGCTTTACCCAGTTGCCTTTACTCTCTAGAGCGCGCGCCTGTGAACTGGAAGAGCGTTCTTAGCAACTGTGGACCACTGGGGCGTTGGCCTCCAGGAGGAAAAGGTGAGTGCCTTCAGGTCCACTCGCATGCCGCCCTGGGCCACTGGGACCTGGCCTCACGGGGCACCAAGACGCTTCGCCCGCACTTGAGGCAGCAGCCCAGGTTGAGTTTCCTCGGTCTTTGGAGGCTTTTCCTGGCTCTAGGCCCCTTGCTCCTCTGCCAGGCCCGGGTGGTGGGGTGAAGTTCTCTCTTGGAGTCAAGTGCCTTGCCCTGGGAGGGAGACCCAGTCTAGCCTGTTGCACAAGTTTTCCAACAATGAACTTCAAGTGTTTGTTATACAAACTTTAGACAACTCAGGCCTATCTTCATTCTTTAAAGCAGGAAAATGGTGCTTGAGTTTGTATTCTCCTTCTTGTCTGAGATAGTTCTTTGTGTGTAGCAGATAGTCTACATGTAGTTTTGAAAATATGAAGTATAATATACACAGTAATTTTCATTCTGATGAACTTTAGGTATCCACAGTCACATGTTGCTTCATGACAGTGTTTACTTACACAAGCTAAGAATGTGACAGTATTACCAGGCAATAAAATCTTGGGGGAACCACAGTTTTACATGTGGTCTGTCATCAAAACATCCTTATGTGTCATGTGACTGTATGTTCACTTGGTGACTTCCACTCAGATCAAGATAGAATTCACCCATACTGTCATCACTTAAATATTTGGGATTTTTGATTAGAAATTCATTGTAACTTTTATTTATTTTTATGAGGTGCTGAGGATCAAATCCAGCACCTCACATGTGCTAGGCAAGTGCTCTACTGCTGAGCCACAACCCCAGCCCCCAAATAGCTACTCTTTAATATATTTTCACATAGTTAACTTTTCTGCAGTGTTCACTCTTTGTTTACACTTCTGTGGTTCAATCCCAGGTCATCTTCCTTTGTACTGAAAACAGCTTTTGAGGCTCTTGTATTTCATGGTCCCCTATCAATGAATTCTCTGTTTTTGATAGTTTGTTTCTGTCATTTAGATTGTTTTCACTGGGAATCGAATTCAAGTTTGAGAGTTTGTGTGTGTGTGTGTGTTTCTGTACTGTAAGTGTGTCCTCCAATTATCCTCTGCCTTCTCTGATTTCTCTGCTGAAGTCAAGGCCTGCTCACAGTGTTATCTCAAGTTTTCTCCACTGCTTCAGGCCACTTTTACATTTTCCTCTTTATCTTTGGTTTTCAGCAATTTGCCTCTTATGGACTTAGTTGTGTATTGCTGAGGGTTCATTGAGCTTCTTGAATTTCTTGTCTAATATTTCCCATCTGATATGGAAAGCTCCTGACAATTAATTCTTCTGTCTGATCCTCTTTCTGCTCTTTCAATATACTTTCTCTTACATTTTGTTTGAGGCTATCAGTCTTATCTTCTTATGAATCAATATATCTTTTAAATTCATCTAATTATAACTTGATTTAGCACTCAAAAAATTTGATCCTTTTATTCCCCAGTGCTGGGAATTGTACACAGGACCAGGGATGTGCTAGGTAATTGCTTTACTGCTAAGCTACATCTCCAGCAAGATTCTTTTTTATAGGTTTTAATATTATGTTGAGGTGCTCTATATTTTCTTTCAGTTGACCTACTTTCAGGGTAGTTTAAATAATTGATTTAAACATACTTGTTTATTGATCCCAAATTTGAGATCATTTCTTGGCCTCATTTTTGACCAGTTTTTTCTCAGATATTGCTTTGTAATCATTTTATCATCTCTCTTTTTTCAAGTCTGGTGAATTTGGACTTCATGCAGCTTTTGTAGAGACTCTAGCTTATGTTTTCCTCTCTCATGAACTTTGAGTTGTGTGCGAACAGGTGATTAATTCGTGAGTGGGTCACTTTAAGCATGCAAGGCCCTGGCTTCTGCTTTATTAGGACACACCTCTTTTGGGTTCTTCTTTCTCTTAGGGCATGATTCTCACATCTAGGAAATGTGTTGCAGGGGGTCGCAATGGAATGTTCAAGGTGTTTACCAAATTCTTTGCACTCTGGATGGACACAAACTCCAGAATTATGTGACCTCTACTCTGATTTCATCCTTTCAACCACTAGACTCCATTGAGCCTTGAAATTCACAGGAAGCTCTAAAGCAACAAGATGATTTTAATTCTGTTTAGAGTGAGAAGGTAAATAGGAAAAGATAGAGCACTCTTTTTGGAAAAAAATAATGTTACAAGATTAGAGACATGTAAATATACAAATTTTTTCTTAGTCTCCTCTAACTATTTTTAGAAAACCATTAAAGAAACATTGCTTAGAGAGAATTGAAGTCATAAAAGGAAAAGGAACAAAAAGCTAGCAAGAAATTGTGGGGCTAATTAAAGTAATTAATCTATGCAGGTTCAGGTGAAATGCAGGCAGGATACTAGATAGTATTTTGGTTCAGAGTTTGGTGTCCTGTTGTTCAGTGGCTTTATCAAATTAATACTTAAGAGGAAAATACAAAGGGATAACGAGGCCAATGCTATTTTGTAAGATATCAAAAATTAGACATTTGGGCTGGGGTTGTGGCTCATTGATAGAGTGGTTGCCTAGCATGTGTGAGGCACTGTGTTCGATGCTCAACACCACTTCTAAATATATATAAATAAAATACATAAAGTATATAAATAAAAATAAAGCTCCTTAACAACTAAAACAAATTTAAGTTTACCTTTTGATGTCAATCTAAATCAAAGGAGATAAATCAGAGCTGGAATACATTTAAAAATTCTGCATTTTTGCTTTCTTTAAAAAAAACACACAGGATAATTATGGGATTTATTCTTAAATGATATTCTTCCTATAGACAAGATGGATAGCTAATAGCACCCTAAGTGTTCTACTGTAAAATCTATAAAACATAGAAAACAATATAAAATTATATAATTTTTTTATGAAGGGCAGCCATCATAAGGCAAAAGTTTGAGGTAATAGGAGGCGGTTGGAAATCTGTGAGGATATGTGCCCCTACCCCACACCTCAGATGGTGTTTAGAGTGCAAATTGATAGTTCTCATTGGGAGACGTCTTGGAGCCCGGAGTACACACCAAGGAGCAAGTTGGTGCCATCTGGATCATGTGCTCTTCCTTTGTGTGAAAAGGTGGCAGCAGCAATTCTGAGAAGACATATGATGAATAGAAGTGTGGCTCCAGGCAGGAAATCAAGAGCATAAGGACAGTGGCTACCTGAAAGCCTAAAAGATGCAGAAGACCAAGACGGGGGGTGGACCAGAAAACCCCAGCATTTTGGGGAGGTATGGAGGACCAGAGTACTGATGTGGAATGGCTACCTTGAGTTCAACTGCCAGGTAAGGACTTTGCTCACCACCCAGTGCTCATCAAAGCAGGTAACAGTAGCAGATGACCTTGGCTTATCTCATTGCTAAAGAAGGAAAATATTTTCTGTGCTAGTAAGAAATATTTTTACTACAAGAGTTAAAAGAAGAAAGAGGAGGGAAGTTGTGTTAATTTGGGGCTGGGTTGGGGCTTGAACCTTGAAAAATCAGTCTTCTGGGGAGTTGGAGCTTCTGAACTGAGGGTGGGAAATGCTGAGGTGCCTACCAAGTACCAGGATGTGAGTAGGGCAAGAGGTGGCCAGGGGTGAGCCAGGGTCACCCCAGCCAACTTACCTTTGCTTTGATTTTCTCTCTCTCCAATGATGTTGGATCCAAGACACCGAGTGTCTTTACTCACCCAGTCTCTCTGTGCAGGCTTAATGGTGGCTGCTGGATTTTACCAGATCTCCTTCCTCCCTGGAACTGTCTTCAGGCACTGTCTCCTTTCAGCAGGGTTCATTTCTCTGGTTTTTAAAGGGCAGAGGATTGGAGGGGGAAAATGGAGAAAATTTCGCTTGTCTACTTAGCTGAGTGCATGTTGGAATTATCTTGATCTGCATGCCTGTGTTTGTGACTCTTCTTGTATGCAAGTTAGAAGTGAAGAGCAAGCAGGAGTTGAGTATTACATTCTCACGGACAGGTATCATGCATGCAAACCTTTATTTGCCACAATTGTTGTATGAACCTGTTGGAAATCTGTGAGGATATGTTCCCCTTACCCCACGCTGAGGATCTTGTTTGCAGTGTGAATTTATGGATTTCCTTGGGAGAAAAATGTATTCGTCAGAGCAGTTATGTTGTTAAGGAAACTTATTATTTCGCTGTGTGCTTTGCACAGACCTTTTCTTTCTCCCTTGACTTGTTGAGTTCCAACAAGACAAATAATGTAGGCCGCACCCCATTTTAGTCTTTCTTTAGGGTTTCTATTTGGAAAAAAAGTATGATTCATAATTCTGTAGTCCAAATAATTATGTATTGTGATATCAAATTATTCCTTGAACCATTCATCACTAATTCCTGTGTTTGAAACATTATCCATGTATTTTCTTTAGAGAGAGATCATTCATGAATATGTACTTTTCAGAAAGGGGATCGAGGAACCCAGAACAGATCCATACATGTAGACAGTATTGTGGTCTTCACATATTAAAAATAAATGAGTTCTCTCTGTTTCAAATACTGTGGGATAGACACAGTGCTGTTGCATCCTCTTGTTACAGAAGCTGTCATTGCGAGGGGTATGTATACATGGGATATGTTTTCCCCTTCAGTGTGTGTTCCAACACATGTGGTTCCCTTCCCATGCTTCTAACTCTAAATACCTTGTCCTTTGGTTTTCTTTATGTGGTTTGTCTCTATTATCCTAATACATAACTAATGATTGATTTTTTAATAATTTTTGATTGTTGAGATACAAGGCATACTTTTAAAAATATTTTTTAAATGAAGACAGACACAATTCATTTATTTATTTTTATGTGGTGCTGAGGATCAAACCCAGTACATTCCAGGCAAGCACTCTACCACTGAGCCACAACCCCAGCCCTAATAATACTATTTTTGAAGAGATTTCCATATGGAAATATAACTTTAACTTAAATTACTAACATAACTGGTATCTTAAGAAAAGTCAGTGTTAATTTGCATTACAGAGTTGTTTTACCTGCACATGAATAAATTCAGGGTATAGATAGCATTGGGGCAACTCCCAGTGCTTCCTCAGTTACAGAGCAGGCTTAGAATCTCCATTCTGGGTGTTGCATCAGTTCTCTTTGTTTCTGCCTCTGTTTCTCTATATCAGTCAGGAAGAAACACCTGAGAGCTCTGTGTACATGTAAGTGATAGTAGGTGTAAGGTGCATGAAGTCCAGGTGGCCCATTTGCACACATGTTACCCTGTGAGTTGGGGTCAAAATCTGGAATTTCAAGGTTAATGTTCATATCCTATCACTGTGTGGAATACTCGTACTATCTAATACAGACAAAAGTAACAGAAGTTGCTGACAAAATTATAATATGATATACAAATCTCTAAATGGCTCTAGAGTGTCTAAAATAAAATTCTACCAGGAGACTCATGATTGAGTACAATCATACATGACCAAGTACACACTTGATATTTCAAAACACTACTAAGAAAACACACACACATACACACACAGAGCAGAAGATCTAGTTTGGGGAGTAGGGAGACAGAAAAAGTGGCTGATTTCCAAGCAGGCTGTTATTTTAGATCAGTTTTTGCTTCCTAAACTCAATTTTATACCTCCTGGATCAAAGTAAAATAGGCTGGTTGGTGGCCCAACAACGCTCTAACTCACCCAGGGCAGGTGTTATAGGAATCTAAAGACAAAGTTGTTCCTTGCTGTGCACAGGTCAAAGGCAGGGTTGCTAGGGGTGAAGTTGGGAGTGTGCATGCATCCAAGCACAGCTTTGCCTATGCTTTGGTATTTCCTCCCACTACCTCATTATAAGTCCTAAACCAGAATGTATCAGAAAATACTCCAGTATTGTTGTTCTTTTTCCTTTTCTGTTGGATATGGGATCTCTCTCTATTCAGAGGATGGTCTTGAACTCCTGTGCAGAAATTATCCCCCTCCTTCAGCCTCCTGAGTAGTTGTAACCACAGGTGCACATGCTGCAACTGGTTCAAATATTCATTAAAGTAAGATTCAAATTCATGCTGAGGCTGTAGCATTGTCTGTCGCCCAAGCAGTTCATTCTAATTCCAACTCCGTGGGCTTTGTCATCATCAGGATGTGGGAGAAACTATCACTACTCTGTGAAAAAGAAAATTGTAAATATATGCAGATGTATCTTGCATAACCTGAACCGTCTTTTACCAAATAGACAAATAAAGACAATTAAACATAAACCACTATGACCACCTCACAGATAGTCATTTGGAATGTGACAAAATTTAATTTCATCTAATAATAATTTACTAAATGAGTTCGAGAGTTGCCCCTAAGTGTCTCAGAAGAATGGGGAGGGAGACTTAAACAGTATTTATGGATGAGAAGGTCACAGATGGAACTAAACAAAAAACTCATTTCATTATCAGGAAAATAACATTTGGATTCTAGATGTTGCTAATAAATGAGGGAACCTATACATTCTGGCTTCTCTCAAACTTCCTTTGAGTGCTGCTACAGGAAATTTTTGATATACAGAGACATCCAAATGAGTCTCTCATTTGCCTGCAGAGCTATGCCTGGACTGGAGCTATGACCTTATGCTGTGAGAGCTTCTGTTAACACAAGCCAACTGCTGGCTTTACAATGATTAATTATGGTGTATAGAATATGTTCTGTGAGCTAAAGTATATGAATGTATACTTCCGTGTATATAAATTATATTAACTTTGATCCATGTAGCTGGCAAGCACATGAGAGCTAATTTAATTCTATAACTCAGACAACAGAAAAGTGCAATTTTGTACTGAGAGTCATAAGGACCAGAGCTCTTACCCAGTATCAACATTAAAGTGCATCTGTGATTGCCTGGGGATGGGATGGGAAGAATCACAACAGGCATGAGGAAACTTTGTAAAGGGAAATAATTTGGGGATTTCTTCTTTTGAAGATGAACCCTAGGTAAGCCTTTAGAATACTTACCAACAAAATAATACTATAGGATATAGTAAATCTCAGCAGAGAATTATGCACTAGTATGGAGATCCATATGTAAGCACAGACTGTACATAATTTCCTCTAGATGAATGTGTAAATATTAGTCATGTATAAGAAATCTCCAGGAAAAGACTGTTTAAGGATTTATTATTAAGGAACTGTTTTAAAACATCAGATACTACTAACAAAAGGATAAGATATATGGGAATTATCTATTCACTTTCAAAACATATGAATTCTTTTTAAAAATCTCGGCTACATATAAATTTTAAAATAAATTTATATTAAGTCAAGATGTTTATATATGAATACATTACCAGTAATTCCAAAACATTTACAACTGCAAGAATGGGATCCTAAGTAGAATAAGTTATACGCCATGTATGTATAATATATCAAAATACACTCTATTGTCATGTGTACCTAAACATCAAAAAAACAAAATATTTTAAAAAATTGCATAGGAGTAGATGGAACATAACATTAATTCAAGTATTTAATTCAACATTTTAACTTTTAAAGTGGCAAAGCATACATTCTAATCTCTAACATACCCCTTTTACTAACAAAATCCTCTTTACAATATAAAATGCTGATGTCTTTAGGATCTAAAAATGTAATGATATCATTAAATATTATTACAGCATATTAGAAACAACATAAAATGAAAATCTGGCATTTGGATTTCAAACAAATCACATTTTCCCACAGATTAAAAAAATATTCAGATGTATCATTTACATATCTTTATGGGGTATATCACAATAATTTAATATATATATATATATGTATATATATATACATATATATATATATATATACAATGTGAGTTTTATCATACAACATTGACTTTATATCCAGCAGGTAGCACTATAAATCATGTCCTTTTAGTTTTTTGTGATTAATGACATTGCATAGAATTCATATTATGGCAGATTTAGAGAGACTGTCCATGTACCCTTCAAGAATGGGGAAATTCTAGCATTTCAAGCAGGCTTTGGTATATGACAGATGAGTCTGAACACCTGAGAAATTTTCAGGAAGCAGGTTTATTTAAGCTACAGTGGTCCAGAGGGGCTAATGTAGAATTTCTGGATCCAGAGTCTGGACATTCTTTGAGATTTATACTCAGTGGATAGTTAACAAAACTATGGGTGGTTAACATAACAGATACTTTTTGTTCCATTTTCTTAGGCTGGACAGAGATTTCACAAGTTTTTTTTTTTTTAAGAAAACAGTAACTTGCACATCAACAAGTTGATTGTGGACCTAACTTTCAAAAGAAAGAGAAATCTGGCCTCTACAACAAAGAGCTCAAACCACAATGAGATCTTCAGAACTC